AGAGAGAGAGAGAGTAGTTACTTATTAAACAAACACAGTAGACATGGCAAACGACAAACATATGCAAAAATTTTATAGAGGTAAAAAGCAAAAAGTAACCTGAGAATACTTTCCACATTGCATAAATAAACTAGAAACACTGGAAAACTTTAGTTCATGCAGAAAATGAGAATAAAATCAATCATCGCATATGACTGAAAATAGACATGTAGAAGCATCAGACATATTATTGAAAAATTGTTAAAAGAAAGCAAGAAAGTGCAAATAAAAAACAACAGATATAATCTAGATGAATATTCAATGGAATTTATACTTGATTTTCAATGAACACAAATGTCAAAATGTAGTAAATAACTTTCACAAGAACAATTCCATAATTAAGATTGGACACCGAATACTTCGTTAGATACTCCCATATGAAGAAGGCAGGTCCTTGGCAAACAATGAATACATAAACTATCTGATTTAACTTTAAAGTTATCTTGGATAAAGTATCGCACTTCAGGATAAATTTAACATGATACTTTGAAAATTTGCCTAGAAAAGCATAATACTTGCATGATAACCTAGACTACCACAGGTTAAAATTTGAGCAAACAAGATAGAGAAGAAGAAATTTCAAGGGAGAAAAAGTTCACAACAAGGATAAGCTAACTTCCTGAAATGATTTACTAACAAAGGATATTCCGATTTGGCCTGATGTCTGTAAACTGTCATGTCTAGTATTCCAAATCTTTAGCAAGCAATTAAAGGCACATTCCCTCAACAGCCGGATTTTATCAAATCATAAGGATGAAGGTACCTCAGCGAACATATATACAGTGAAGTTACAATCACTACAATTCCTCTCATCACGGTTGAATTTTGTCAAATGGGTGAATAACAACTTAGCATTGCTAAGAACTGAACAAGCACTTGTGGTCAAAATTTATAGGACCCATGGTCAAAAGTGCCAACCATTTGCACGCCAATAGCTCTGTGAATTAGCATTGAGACGTGCATTTTTTACTTTCAAAAAGAGTCTGTATGCAGTCTCTATTTTATTCATCTCCAATAGTTTGTTGTTTAGTTTACTATAAACTATTCTACCAAGGCAAAAACCTTTGTGCAGTGATTCCTCCACAACCAGAACAGCATTGTCAACCTGCCCTATATTGCAGAGTACATTGACTATATACTCATAAACTTCCTTATCAGAAGCATAACCATTGTCTTGCATCTCCTCCCAGATTTTCAGCACCATTCCAGATTTACCAAACCTCGAAAGCCTCATAAGCAAAAGCTTGTAAGCTTTCAAAGACAGCATACATCCTGCTTTCCTACTCTTTTTATAAAGAAGCATAGCAGCATGGGGAGGCCCAAAGCTACAAAGAGGCTCAATAAAACATGTAATCATCCCAGTACTGGGCAAAATTCCTTTACCTAACATATCATCGAACAGTTCAAGTGCATCAGCCACTCTTCTACCTTTGAGCAATGCACCAATCAATTTGGTATAAGTATCGACGTTTGGCAAACACTCGCTTTGTGTCATACCTTTATAGTACTCAATGCATCTGTCAAAGTCTCCAATTGATATGAAGTTAGAGATCATCGCATTGTATGTCATAGTATCTCGAGCACTTCCCCTCTCCTCCAACTTCTCGAAAACATCCACAGCATCATCGATCCGGCCAGCTCGTCCTAATGCTTCTATGATGTGGCTAAACGTAACACTATCAGGGCTCAAACCATCGGTCATCATCATCATCATCCAATAATGCTCTACCTTGTCAAGCCTACCGAACTTCGCCCACCCACCAATAATCTCATTATATGTTGCATTATCAAAAGGAATTTCTCCTTTAGTAGTGTTGAATACAGAATTTGCAACCTTGACATGAGACCTTCGACACAGGCACCGCAAAAGTATATTGAGAGACTCCAAATTACACTTGGCTCCAATCTCCTCCAACTCCCTGAACAACTGAACTGCTTTAGAAACTTGGCGAGCCCTAAGATAACTGTCCATCAGAATCTCCACGGTCTCTGCGTTGGGTTGGACATCAGCATTCTTCATTCTAAGCAAGATTTCTCCCACAAAATCGAAGAACTTCCTCCGGCCAAGCGCCTTCAACATCACGTTATACGTTTCAACGCAAGGTGTCACCTTTGGCTGTTGCATTGCCCAATCGAAGAAGGAGACCATCGCCTCTCCGCTCCAACTTCCCCTGTTCAGTACATCGGCGAAGATCTTCTCCGTCAGGTCGACGCCGACGGTGGAGAGCGCGGACTCCACGGCGGATCTTCCCCGCAGCTTCTGAAGAAAGACCCCGCGGAGCTTCTCATCAGGCGTGAGGATTCGATCTCGAAGGCTAATCAAAGCCGATTCTTGAGCTGGTTTCTCAGTCAAAAGGCGGGCTTTCGGAGGTTCAGGATCGATAGAGAGGAGCTCCGATAGCTGTTCGAGGACGAATCCCTCGGAAAGGCTAGTGTTCGATTCAATAGGATCGGAAGAGCCTTCGCAAAGATCAACGGAGAGGAATCGAAGAAGACTAGCGAAGGACAAGGGGGAGAGTTGGCATCGGCTTCTTTGGAGAGGGCGAAGGAACCCTAGAATTCGAAGAATCGCCATTACCAGATTTCGAGTCTCAGGTAACTAAAGCGGGGACGTTGGATGATCCTGTCCGTCCACGTGTCGGAATAATATAAGACAGATACGTACAAATTGGACTTCAATTTCGCACATCGTAGTTTCTTCTATATATTAAAAATTGACAAAATTGGATCCTAAGAGTTATAAAAGTATAATAATTAATTTTATTTTTTATTTTCTAACGTCATCGATCGTATTAACCAAAGATACAACGCATATCATTAATTAAATAATAAAAGAATTTACTCATTTTGTAAATAGTTGAATTATTAATTAAATGATAAAAAGAAAGGGGTGATTGGCTGATTTCTTCCCGCGAATCGGTCTCTCTCACTCCCATTGCAATGTGCTGAGTAATTTTTGGTTTGGGGATTGATCACGAACGAACGAACGAACGAACGAACAACAAAGCAGCAGCAGTAGCAGCAGCAGCAGTAATGAATAAATACACTGATATGAGATCGCAACAGTGGCATTCATCTGAAACCTTTAAATGAACATCAATTTATCCGAACAATAATTCTTCTCAGCAGAACAACGATTCATATGCAACTGCTGCATTCATCCGAACAACATTTCCAAGCAGGAAAGCTTTAAATGAAAAATAAAAAGACAGTAAAAGTCTGTTGTTGCATTGAAAAAGTAACATTCACAATGGAGATTGAAAGTAACGTTAATGAGCAAGACCTATTCCCTAGCAATTGCTCAGAACAAACAAAGTTCTCCCCACGAAATCTAATTAAAAGTTTTTTTTTGTTATCAAATTAGAGTAGACTAAGAAGCATTAGTTTAGACATAGTAAAAGGAGACGAAAGAAATATTAAAATTATCATTTTACCGATATGATGTTAGAGAAAATAGAGTCAATTATTTTAATTTTATAATTTTACCGATATGATCTCAATATAAATTTTATGTAATTGATAGAAGTTATTATTGTTATGATTCATCGTTACTTCTTTTCTTGAATAATTTAATGGTTTGCTTGTGGATCTCAATAGAACACAACGAAAGATCTGAAAGAGAAGTGCCAAACACAGAAATGCTTTACTTAAGTTACGTGATCAAATGAGTGGAAAAGTAGGTTTTTTTTTCACATTGTAAGTTGGAATTAGGTCGACATGTCTCACACATGTTGGACACTCACGTAAGATTTAGAGTTTGTCGTAAGATTTATATTAATTATATAAATACTATTTTATGTATTTGACTTTTAGCTTGGATATTTAAATTTTGATAATTTTAATTGTTTTAACTGGTATGATGATATTTATTTATTTATTCACATTGCTGAGTTGATAAAATTTAAGCATAAATTTTATAAGATCCATGTTAATTGAATATTATACATACATATATCTTTAAAAATACATGTGTTATCGTAGTATTCGTGTCCTAATTTTTTTTAAAAAAATGAAATGTCATGGTGTTTATATTGGTCTTGTATTCATGTTTATGTTTATGTTTCTTGGGGACATATTAAATTCTTTCTATTAAGAAAAATGATATCTAATTTATAATTTTAATTTTTTTAAGAAAAAAATATATTGAAATAAGATAAACTATACTCTTTATAGCATACAATTTGACTAAAATCTATTAGCCATGACTCTCTCCAAATACTACAAGACTTGAAGGTTTTCGCAAAATGTGCTAATAAGTTAGCACTCATATTTCTCTCCCTGAAAACATGACCAAATATACAAGTTTGAAAACAACTTGCCCAACTAAAAATAGTTCTAACATAGTGTTTTATCAAGTGCTAGCGAGGATTATCCTCTTTATTAAGGATTTTAATAACAAGCTCTACATCTAATTCAACTTCAAGGTGTGTTATCCCTAAGTAATTTATAATCTTAATTTGATTGTCATGAGTTTAGCCCCCCAGTAACAAACAGGTGTCTTAGAGGAATTCATATCTAGCAAAATTGCATATACCATTGCTCATCTTGAGAAAGAATCCAATCATTCTTGTATTATCATACATCAATATTAAGTTTGATCCATCATCCACTAAGTTTGGTCCATGTTACAAGGATTTGATTTTCTCCAATACATCTATCTATCAGATGACTTTTAAATATTTATGGCATAAAACATAAGCTCTCAATAAGATAGATAGTAAAAGAATTAGCCTTAGTATAATTTCGAGCCTTCCAAATAAACTAAAAGTAATAGGCAATAAATAAAGGCTCTAAGATCCAACTCCCTAATCCACTTACTATTTTTCCATATATTTATAAATTAAAAACTTATATTCAACTCTCTTTTTTTCCATAAAATAATATTAATAAATTATTTTGCTCATCAACACATATGTAGAGGACAAATATTTAATTTAGCCAACCTAACAGTGGTGGGAAACCTTTTACCCTGGGAATGATAAGAAGTTTCTAAAGCTAGACCCAACAATTAGCCCAAGGGTTACTATCAAGCATAGGGCTTTTCAAAAAGCTTCCAACTCCAACTAATATTAACAACAGTGTCACTCTTTCAATGGGAAACTTACCCATATTTAACAGTGTTAATTTTGAACCATAAATTATCCTCTTGAGACATATAGTGATTCTTCTAATTTGTGAGCAATACTTATATTATGGAGATCGTGTATATTCAAACCATTCTCATGTTTGGGTTTAGTAATAGTCTTCCAAGCAATTAAGTGTACCATTATATTTTTTTTTTGCCAAAGGAAGTCTCTTATAGTTTTTTCCAAACCCGTCAATACTCTATTAGGAGCCAAAACACATTGAAAGCATAAGCCGAAGAAGCATCGAGGACAAAATTAGAAAGGGTGATTTTACCGGCCTATGACAAGTTGACCTCATTCCAATTGCCTAGCTTAGCTTCCTTTCTAAATTTTGGGATATATCATGACAAGCAAAAGTATGAATTTTATGAGGACTAATTAAAGTGCCAAGATACTTGAAAGGAATTTTTTCGTTTTTTTACATTGAAGAGAGAGCATATTTTACATCTTTTCTCACTTGGAATATTGCAAGGGAAGAAGATATCAGATTTATTAAGTGAGATCCTCTTGAAAATTTTTCTTGAATATTACAACACGACTTCCTATTGGCTCCAAAACAAATAAGAATATTATCAACATATATTAAGTGAGATATGCTAATCTGATTTTTTAAATTTAAAAGAAAGGAGCATATGATCAAAACCACCTTGTTCAATGAAGTAGTCAAAATAAAAGGGGTCCCCTTGTTGGACTCTACGGTGGCTTTTGAAATAATTTGAGTAGTCCCCATTAATCAAGTAAGAGAAAATAGGGAAGAAAATATAAGATAAACCTCATAAGATAAATCTATTAGGAAAACCCAAGAGTGATGATGATTATAGTCCAAGAAATATTGTCTTAAGCCATTTCGAGATCGATCTTAAACATGACTAAGGGATTAGAACCTTTGGAGTTAACATAGAGTTGATCACTTCTTGGGCAATTAGGATATTGTCATGAAAGCTTCTACTAGGGTGAAAAGTAGATTGCTCATGAGATATGATTCTAGACAATAAAGGTTTTATCTTAGGAAGCGAGGAGTTTAGTAAGACTTTTGTAGTTAACGTTGCAAAGTAAGATTGGTCTAGAGTTCATAACCTATTTAGGGTTGTTTGTCTTAGGGATGACAACAACGTGGGTCTTAACCCAATCCTTATGCAAAGAAGCATTATGATAAAATTGATTGAAAGCAAGGCCTAGATGATCAGAAATAGTATTCCAATGATTTCTATAAAACTCAACTATATACCCATCTTCTTGCACCCAAGAGATTTCAAGGCTTCTCATATTTCTTTTTTATCAAACGATTGGAGGAGCCCCTCACTTTCCATAGGAGTGATACTAGTGCCATATGATGAAAGGGTTTGCAGGACAAAGGTCATTACTCTAAAGCTTCCGATAGAAACTGACATATTCATTCTTAATTAACTCGGGTGGATAGACACACCTATTAGTAGATCTCATAGACTAGATCATGTTATAACACCTATGAGATATAATTTAGATTATGATAGAATTTTGAGGTATAAGGGACTCAAACGTGTTAATCTCATTGATAGTGTTAATCTCATGTTACTTGCATCGCTGACCGCAGGGGCAACCGCCCGCATGGGCGACGGCTGCGGGAGTAGCCCCACGAGCATAACCGCCCACGACGGCACCCAACCACAGGGGAGGCGTCGCCCGTGGGAAGGGGCAACGCCCCCGCGTCCCACAACCGCGTAGGCTGTCGTCGGCTGGGTGGCGACGACGACGGCGGCAACAGCAAGGGGAAAGAGAGAAAGGGATTAGGGCATTCTTGGGCAAAAAGATAGTTTTGCCCCTCGGAATTTAAGAAATTTTAATTCTATCTTTTTGTTCAAATTACAAAAATACCCCTTAGAATTTAGAAATTTTCCTACATGTCCTTGATTTTAAAAAAATATTAATTAATTAAAATTTTTAATTGATTATTATTTTTATAATTATTTAGTAGTCCTACATGATGATGATTTATACATGTGATGTATGATGTGTGGACGGATGATCATGAACCGTGTGATGTGTGTATTTGTGATTATTATTATTAGGGCCTGCGAGCCTCCATTATATTTCTCGTTTATTGTCAGGCTTGCGTGCCTATTATTAAGTTGTAATCATACGAGGAGGCGTAGTGGGAGCGTAGAAGCAATAGCGGGACCCACAAGACGGACGATCGCGATGTATGGAAATGCGTCGAGATGTCGACGGAACCGACGAGGACGAGATGGACGATCACAGGGCATAAAGATGCACCGTTGCACACATAGATCTTGATGTGAGTGATTAGGCCTACTGGCTTGGGCCTGATCACATTAGGCTGTAGTCCATGATCATTTGGTGTGATTGCTTTTACACCTACTAGATATGTATATATATTTGCATGCGATATAGATATATATTAAATATGTATATGTGTGACATGTCATATTAGGATTCCAAATCATAGAAA